AGTATCTCAGTTGATGAGATAACTTAAGTCCATCTACAGGTGGTTTAGTTTAAGCCACATAAGAAGGTGTAGACTTCCTGGTTGGGGTCTTCGGAAAGGTAAAAACCAATGGCTGGAAACAATCGATGATATGGCTCAAAATCGTTCTCAATGGAGCAGATACGATACATGCATACCCAATGAAACTATATTGTTCTTCCATATTACTATTCCTTTTGTCTCATATCTGTTATGATGGTAGATCTTTTGTCACTAGGTCACTGCTTAACTACTGACCAGTGCCCACTTAACTGGTAAAGCAGAACACACGAGAATCAGCGGTAAAACCAGGTTCATTTATTATGACAAAAGTGACTGTATTTATACAGAAAATAAGGTAGACTGGAAATCAACCAATCCGGTTGAAAGTTGGAATTGTTCAAGCGTCCAATCAGAAGCAGGAACAATTGCATGTCAACGACTTGTTATTAACGCGATAATAACTTGACTGAGACATGATAATGACCTGATAATTGCATGTGTTTTGCCTCTTCCTGTTTGCTGTCTTTATTTTGCACTTCTTCTACTTCCTTCTCTTGATTTTTGTGCTACATGGAGTGTGGTGACTTGAACTTCTGTACATCGATGCAAAGTTCTATGTTGAAAACGGATAGACAGACCATCTACAGGTTGCTGAAATTAAGCAGCCCAGTGATTTATCCAGGCTGCCAGTTTGTTTCTTCAAGCCTTCAACGACAAATTACAATGACCTGTTCCATAGTGAATTATGCAATGTGTATAGTGAACTTACCCTTAATTATTATTATTTATTAGTCTTCAATAGATAAGACCGACTAAAAAGTGTTCGATAAGTGTGAGAATTGCTCCTAAAAAACACAACCAAGAATTAATTGTATCGCTGGAGACTATTCACGTCAATCAGATTTTGTACTTGCTGCCACGACCCGAAGTGTTCTAAAGATAAGATGGCAGTTTCGCTCGGTTTGAACTGGGCCCATCATCTGTGTACCTAGTTCCAAACAGCTCAGAGAACCGCATCAGTTTCAGATGTGAGTCAGTGATATACACAAGAATTCATTTATGCTTGTCTTCTTGATTACTACGCATGGTGTCATGAGCATCACCAGTTGTCTTCTGAATATTCTACGTATCCAAAACGAAACCGTCTCTAGAGGAAAAATTGAGTTATCTGGCTAGATTAGTAAATGAATAACCAAAATAAGTAATTTTATACTAAACATGTTCTGATGAGGCGTACAAGGTTAAGTGTTGAAGTGATGTAAGCTAATCAATAAGGTTTTGCATACTGATCAGCTAGAGTAGCTTGAAAACGTGTGTTAAACGCCTAGGCATCATATTTTACAACAAGTAACGTTGTCAGCAACCATAATACCACGTTGAATCACCAGTTCTCAGAAGTAGAATTAAACTGGATAGAAATAAGGCTTACTTATCCTATATCTCCATTATGAATAAGATTTTATTTTGATGAATCACACAGTGTTGTACAGCAATATTAAGTGAGATATGTGGATGACACTTTGACAGTGTTAACAACAGAACATATCTCTAGCTTCTTGACACATATAAACTCACTAGTAAAGGGAATAAAATTCATATTTGAATCGGAAAATGAACAAGAGGAATTAGCTATGTTAGATTGTAAAATAAAACGAACAGAGGGTAAACTACACTCTAGCGTTTATAAAAAGCAAACGCATTCTGCTATTAGATATTGTGACTTTAATTCATCTCATCCGTTATCTGTAAAGGCTGGCTTAATTAAGTGTCTAACAAACCAAGCAGTAGCACTAAGTAGAACAAAAGAGACTTAAATGATAAAATGAAAGGGATAGAAGAGGCATTGGGGTTAAATAACTATCCTATAAAATTCATTAAGAAGATCAGAATAGGTCAAAAGCAAAATAAAAAAGTAACGATGAGACTAATATTGATAACATAAGTAAGAGTGAATATAATGCCTCTACAGTTTTACCATTTAAGCAGGATTCTTAATAAAGCAGGAAATAGCGTGGCATTTCAACCCAGAAACTCACTCGAGGACAAGATCTGTAGGCTAAGGGAGCCTGTAGACTGACCCCATTAGACAAAAAAATATACTTTACAAAATACCATGCAGTGACTGTGAGTTAGATAAACTACATAGGTGAAACTAGTAGATCAGGTGTAGTGAGATTGCCAGAACATAAGAATTTAGCTAAGGTTAGAATGATTGACCCTGCGAAAACAGATGAGTAATTTAGAAAAAAGCTCAGCAGCAAATGCACTGCAGGCATTAACACACAACCACACAAAAGGGTGGGACAAAATGAAAATTCTAAAATTTAATATAGGTAGGTGTAGAGAGAGAGAGAGACATTGATTGCTGAATCCTGGTTCATTGAGTCTTCACCCAAGACACGCAATAGAAGTGACTCAACCCAAATACCAGAGATGTGGAAGATATTATTACCAGTCAAACCAGAGAATAATAAATATTGTTAAAATGTGTTCAGTTCACATCTAATTGTATTTTATAACACTAATATTATTTCCGAATGTACTTTATCTTTTATTTATTTTATTCAAATGTCTAATCAGTTTCGCTCTTGTATATAAATGAAGCAAGAAAGTTTCTATGAGTGCCTTGATATGATTATGAGCAGCAATAATTTGCGCTCAAAACGTGGCCATCAGTTATTATTATTTTACAACACTGTGTGATTTTGATGGTATTAGATGGTCGGAGGCAATCGACAGGAAGCCTTGGACCTAGGTTTCGTGCTAGTTGGCACTCAACGGTCAGCAAGGCGTATCTGCAAACTTGAAGGAACTCATGTCCCTTCTGAGATTCGAACCCGCGTCACCCACTGACGCAGTCAGAGACGTTACCACTGAGCTATTGGGGCTCGAGATTGACTTCCTGTAGGACTGTAGTGGATATTTTGATTAGACACTAGTAATTAGTGTGATGCGTCTAGTCCTCTCATTGCTGTAGACTGAATTCTATCAGTCAGGTTGTAATATGACCACCATTCTAGCCAGCTCGCCATGACATTGATTGCAGCACTGTTGACGGGGGTTCGAATCTCAGAAGGGACATGAGTTCCTTCAAGTTTGCAGATACGCCTTGCTGACCGTTGAGTGCCAACTAGCACGAAACCTAGGTCCAAGGCTTCCTGTCGATTGCCTCCAACCATCTAATACTATCAAATCAACGTGCACCGTGATGGCGAGCTAGCTAGAATGGTGGTCATATTACAACCTGACTGATAGAATTCAGTCGACACCAATGAGAGGACTAGACGCATCACACTAATTACTAGTGTCAAATCAAAATACTGTGTGATTTTATTGAAATAAAATCTTATCCATAATGGAGTTATACTCTAGCGCAGTGCCCAAGTTTTAAACTTATATCAATATTACTTATCAAATCATGACACCAATTCATATAATCACTAACTGTTAGTCTAAGTCACTTTGGGGGATACAGATCGTCTGACTGGAGTAAATGCAGTGCTGAGAACCCAATGGTTGGAGACTGTTGGTATCGTCCAGCCAAACTATTCAAAGCATCACAGATGTCTCCGTGTAGTATCATCTTTAGTAAATATTTATTTATTTATTCCCTTTGGCATATGCATATTTATGTACTTTGGTGTCTTTATCATTCTGTTTCCTGATCAGACAACCGAAACACATACAAATACTGTCCCTATCAAACTTTCACTATTTTTCTACAATCGTGTTTTCTCAATTAATGATAATATAATATAAATCAGTTAGAGAGTATCGAAAGTCAAAGAGTACCGGACCGCTGTTTTGTTCTAGTTTGGAACTCTGCAGCAATGCGAACTCATGACCCCAGTAAGAATCGAAAGCAGAACTTTCAAATTACTAGGCCAAGCTCTTTTAACTTCAGTTGATGTTAACTTGTGGCAAAGTCCACATTTAAATTAATCCGAATCCCTACAAAAATCCATAATCTTAACAAAAATCTCTAGCTCAGTGATACTTTGATTGGATACTAGTAACTCGTGTGATGTGTCTAGTCCTTTCTTTGGTGCAGACTGAATTCTATCAGTGCCGTTTGCAGTGTGGCCCCATTACAGGTAGCTTGCCGTCATGGTGCACATTGATGTGATATTATTAGATAGTTAGGGGCAGCCGGCAGGAAGCCTTGGACCTAGGTTTCATGCCAGTAGGCACTGATACTTTCTGGATAAATGTTCTGAAGTTGTAGTGAGAGGTCCTGTCTAGTGGGGTTCACCAGCCTAAGGTGAACTGAATGCTCATCAGCGGTAGTGGTTAAGTGTAGCGGTGTATTAGGAAATGACAAAATTAGAATTTACGGGTCACTGGATTCCAACCCAAGTGATCGAATGGTCAAGTAGATTGGTCTTGTGACAAGGAGGTCCCCAAGTTCGATATCTCATGAGGTTGTGGGTATGGACTGCCATAGTGTATTAAAATAGCATCAAACATCTGTCATATGCCCTCTGATTTATAATGATCTCTACCGACTTTGATTTGTGACAGAATCTGCACTGAAGCTGATTCCATTCTCTACAAAAATCGATAATCTAAGTATGAACAATGCAAAATAAGGCAAATTCACTAAAAGTAATTATTAATATTATTATTAATTATTATTATTTTATTAATTTATTATTATTTTATTGCATATAATTTAATTCTTTTAGACAACATAGCGTTATTAACAGAGACAGAAAAGGAAAGATTAATCAATACAACTTATAACCACAATAAAATCATACAAATTTACACGTTTATAAAATAAGTAAAATATGTTTCCAGAAGATTGAAACATTTAAAAACTTGTGTCAAAAACAAACATTGAAAATGACATGAATAACGTTTCTTTCATTTTATTCGCAAGTTATGCGTGTTTCATTGTTTTTTTTCACATTACTTCATTTTTTCAGCTAAACTGTGTTCAATGTTCAGTTGGAATATAGACATTTTGTTTAAATGTATTAATTTTTGATTTGACCATTTCCTTTGTTTATTTCACTGTTTAATAAGTTCAACTGTTCATCCCACATATTGTTGTTATCATTATTACTTTTGTTAACATTCCTTCTATCTTTTTGATCTAATTGAATAACTAAACCTCCACGATGTAATTGTATGGATGGATTTGATATATCAGAGATTTCTTTACGACACAAATGTTCTACAATTGCTGCTCCATATGCATCACCCATTATATTTACTGACGTTCTAAATCTATCTCTTGAAATATAAGAGAAAATAGAAAAATTCAAAGAATTTTGGAGAAAAAAAGATTATTATGATTATTATTATTAAATGAGTTGTTGAAATGTCAATTTGTAATAAGTTATTTTCAAGAGATTTTGTGTAAGGATTAGATTTTTTTCTCGAGTTTGACCACGGATTGAGGTCAGTCAGAGAACCAGTGAATAACAGCTGAGAGTACTGGGCAGCTGTGTCATCCTAGTTTGGGAGTCGTCAGCAGTACGCACCCACTTGGGTTCAAACCCAGGACCTCCCTGTTACAATGTAAGCTCGTATACCATTCGTCAGCCACTGGGACCCGATTCAGTCGTAGAAGCAAGAACTCACTGGCCATTGAATCGGGGCCCATTGGCTGAATGGTATACGAGCTTGACTTGTCACAGGAGAGTCAGTAATCTACTCTTGTCATCCATATATCAGTCACTACCACACTGAAGGGATGGCTAACATGGTATCAACAGTGGCAGTCAAAGCCCTATTGGAATGGGAACAGGTTTCATCCAGGATTATAATAGCAACTCAACCCGGAATGGAGAAAGAAAAGTTACAACTATCCAATGCTACACACCAATAAACAACTCGTAAATAGAGAGGAATGATAATTTCTATAGGCAGATGCAAACGGTAGTGGAAAGCATTCTGAATGGTCGAAGGATACACATGAGTTGATACGGGCACACCAAAAACCAGACAGATTTCATCTCAATAATGCTCATGAAAGTGGAAACGCAGCCTGATGGACACAAATTTGAGAAAAGGAGAAGATGTGGGTTCAGACCACCTTCAAGTTGAAGCTGGGATCCTTCAGAACAACTGGAGACAGGCTGCAGTCCAAGTTCAACATTCAGAAACTGAAGGAAAAAACTGTGAGGGATACGTTCACTGCAATTGGAGATACTATGTGGCATCACTGAGGAAACCTACGTGGAAGAACATTGAAACTCTCTGAAGGTGGTTTTCAAAGAAATGTGTACAACTGTTCTAGGAAAAGGCAACACTAGGAATGACACCTGGAAGCTAATCGACGAGAGAAGGATAGTGTGAGAAAAGATTACTCAATGCAAACATAGACAACAGAAGAAGTTGAATTCACTATACACTGCACTGGATAAAGAAGTGGAGACAAGTGCTAGGACAGACAGAAGACGATTCTACAAAACACTGGCCGGCAACTGAAGCAGAACAGGCAGACAGCAGGTAATAGAGGCCTGATATCATTATACCAGATATCCAGGTATCTCTATCCGGGAAGAGATCAACTGAGATGAAACCAATAAAAAATGTTCTAGGGGACCTAATAATCAAAGAGAAGAGAGTAGTAAAACAATTGGCTGATCACTTCAAGGGACTCTGGAACCAGCCATCACCTGCAACTCACCCAGAAATGCCATCAACAGCATGCACAGAACTGCCAGTGAACAGCAGTCCTCCAATAAAAGAAGAAGTCTTAGTTAAAATCAAGATAATGAAGTACGGGAAGGTAGCAGGACAAAACGGAATTCCCTCCGAAGCACTGAAAATGGACAGAGAGACTGCGGCAGATATCCTCACGCCACTATTGAAAAATGTTTGGAAGCAAGGAAGGAAAACTGCCTAGTGATTGAAAGAAAGGCTACCTCGTCAAACTGCCAAAGAAGGACGACTTAGGCCTCTGTGTGAACTGGTGGGGAATAATGCTCTTGTCCACGCCAAGTACAATACTTAGTCACATCATCCTTGAGAGAATAAAAGATGCACTGGATGGAGATCTCTGCCAGTAAAAAGCTCAAAACATGAAGAGCGAATCAGGTACTGATCAAAAATCAATGAAATATCAATCACTATCAACAGAATCAAATTGTAAGAGGTCATTTCCCACACTTATCTAGACAGCATCATTTCAAATGTAGTTCATCGGCAGGGATGGCGATGTCAAAGACAGAATCGGAAAGGCAAGATAAGCCTTCACCACTCTGAAAACGGTTGGGAAATCCTCTGCACTCCAAAGCATAAGATACAAGGTTCCGATTTTAAACAAAAACGTCACTTCACTTCTTCTATATGCGTCAGAAATTTGCACAGTGCATCATGGAAGGCATTTCCTATAGGCCACTGGAGACTTATATCAACAGATCTTACGGTCAGAAAGAATTAGGAGCAGGAAACTATAGGGACAAACCAACTGAGAGCCAGGTGGTCAACAAATATGCAGAAGAAAACGGAGATGGGCGGAGTACACGCTGAGGACAGTGTCGAATTAAATCGCCCGCCAGGCCTCCATTCTGGTGGCCCCCAAAGAGAAAGCGACGAATTGGGTATAGGTACGAGAGTAACACTGAGCAGATCGTGTAAGCAGGAGATGTGAGATTATGGACAGTTTCGGGCCCGGCTAAGGAGGACGACAGAGAATATAACAAAGTGGAGATGTGCTGTTGAAGCCTAATGTTCCACTCAAAACCAAAGGAAACAACAACCATATAGTGGTTTGCAATACTGAACTCTATCTTATCGAAGTTCTGATCCCATTACATAATATTTCTATTTGCCTATTAATCCTAAAAATCTTATTAGTTTTAAATCTCTACCTCTCCTGTGGACTTTTTTTATAAATGATATTATTTGTTATATCACTTGATTCTGAACTACGATTATAATCACAAATATTTTATCTCACTTTACGTTATTATTATTACTATTATTATTAATGAAGTAATCATATTTTTGTTTAAATTTCTTTTCGAAATATATATATATATATATATATATATATATATACCACTGAACATCTTGATAATGAATCTGTTGAAAAGTCGTTTTTTTACTGAATATCGTGTTCCTAATTGCTTCTGTTTTTCATTCCAAAATAAATTGGAAATTTTAATTTCTCTAATCAACTTTATAAGAGATTTTTTTCAAATAATGCTTTATGCATCATTCCCTATCTGAGTTTTCAGATAAATTTTTATTGTTAGAAGTTAGAAATGAATATTTGATTTTTAAACTTATGTCAGTAATATTTTCATTTATTCAACATTCTGAACGTCCATCATGATTTCGATTTAGTAATGGAAACCAAATTTAGCTATTTCTAATTGACAGTTTGTTGGGATTTAACTAGTCGTCCCAAGTCTGATCATGGAGGGATATTAGTTAGAGAACTAATGATCAGATGTTTCTTCCATATTTGGGACTCCACAGCTGTACATAGGCACAACCTTATCAAGGACTGAACTCAACACCTTTGGGCTACAAAGTGAGATCGTAAACCATTTAGTCACTAGGATGGAATCCAGTGGCCAATCAATTCTAACTTCTGTTGATTTGTGGTTTGTTCTAGCGCTACCCGGTATTTGTTCTCACTTACGACTTGGTAGACACCGCACTGGCCACGAGTTCTCGCTTCCAGGCAACAGTATTGTGTAACCAGTCACTAGTAAGAATCCGGTTTATGTTCCTGCTTAAACAGCTAAGGTAATTATTTCATTCTGATATCTGAAGTATTTGAAATACATTTATGATGATAATGGTAATAATAATAATAATAAAGCGTAAGGTCATTTGTATTATTCGTATTCGCAATACTGTAATCATGTTCACCAATGAAATTAGTATAAAATAAGGCACTTTTAAGGGACATAGTTTTCTAAAGATTTGTTGAGAAATCAATTCTTCTCTAACATAAAGTTTTAGTATCAAACCAAAATATGCCTATCGAATTCAAAGTATTGTACTTTTGACTTAATGAAAGTAAAATTTAGAACAACATATTTAAGCGAACAATATTGTGTTTTCAATTATATCTCATCAGGCTTAACTCTAACATGCATAAGATTACAAATAAAAACTCAAAAGTAAACCAATCATGTTGTTTTGTTTATAGGATAATACGATGGTGAATATAAATTGTGCAATTAGTCATAATAGTAGTAATGATAATATTAATAATAGTAGTAATAATAATAATAATGGTCTTATCAATAATAAGGATGAAAAAGTGAGGCAATCTGCGATAACAGGAATAATAAAAAACAGTATGATTAAAAAAAACAATTGCTCAGGTGGAAGTAGTCGATAAAGGCTAGTAAGAACAAATGAACCAATTATGTAATGTTAGATTGTAAGGAAAGGAAATGAAACACGTTTAGAATGAAGATGTGATAAGATTGAGGGATGATAAGAAAGGGGTTGAAAATATAAATAGGGGATGGTGCAGAAGCCTTTATTTGTTTATGTCTTATTGGGCCAAGGGAGGGATAATGGCTGTGCGAACTTCTTTTGAATGCATAGTTTAGGTTTAATAGTTCGAATGCCTATCGCATCAGCTGTGTGCATTAGACGAATTTTACCATTACTGCTATTATGACTAATCGCACATTTTATATTCACCATCTTATTATCCTATAGACAAAACAACATGATTGGTTTATATTTGGATTTTTATTTGTACTCTTATGCACATTAGAGTTAAGCCTGATGAGATCTAATTGAAAACAGCAATATTGTTCGCTTAAATGTGTTGTTCTAAATTTTACTATGGGAATATTTAATATATTAATACAAGTAGTCAGTAATTTACTATAAAACAGTAGGTAACTAGACAGGCTTTTTCATATTCCACGGGCTTCAAGTGGGGTGTTTCAAGCTCTGAAATGGCATCAGAATAAGGTTGTGTTAGCTTCACGCGGAAATTTCCCATTTTCCTGGGTTAATTAACAGTTTCTAAACTAGTTAAGACTTAGTGGGTGCATTGATGAGAAGTTGAACCTTGGAGCTTCCGTGTGGCTTGTTAACATTCTACAATTGAAACCATCAGTGCACAGCAGGTACTTATAAAAGCTGTATTCCTTCGGTTAGTGAAGCCAATTAGTGTTCACAAGTTATTTATTTATTTATTTATATTTATTCTTAAATGATTAGAAGTAATTCTGCTTATTACTTTATTCATGTCTCTAAATATATTCCCATCATTAATAATAGAACAAGACATATAAGCGAAC